GCATTATCTATTATCTTGAGTATTATATCATTTAAATATATCATTCATTCATCGAATAATATTTGATTAATCATAATGAAATAACAAAATCATTAAATAATGAATGAATAATATAAAATGACAGAGATTAAGAAGATAATAAAAAATAACTAATAACACGAAGTAGAAAGAATAATAAATAGAAGAAGTAGATAAATGTAAACACATGAAATAAAACAATGTATGAATAAACAAAATATAATAAAAATAATAAAAATAAAATATTTGAATATGTTATAGAATAGAAAACAGAGAAGAAGAATGAATAAATAAAAAATATGATAAATATAAAATATAATAAGAATAAACAAAGAATAAAATGAAATAATACTTCATATTAAAACTAGAATGAATGACATAATAAAATAAACGTAAAGAATAATATTATAATTATAAAAGAAATAAGAAGATATAGAACAAAGAAAATAATATAAACATATACAATGAAATATAAATTAAATATAAACGAAATGAAAATATACAAAACAATAAATGATTAATAAGAAATAATAAAATAAAGAATAAAAATACATAAATAACAAAATGACAAACTGAACATTTAAAATAATAAAACACTAAATGATAAATATTATAGAAACAAATATAAGATAATAGAAGTGACAAAAGTGTTAAAGAAGAAATGAAATAAAGAAACATAAAAGAAAATAAGAAAAAAATGAAAGAAAAAAATACAATAAGAAAGATATGACATGAATAATGTAAGAAGATAATAAATAAGATATAATAAATAGAAATCATACATATTAAGAATAAAATGGTAAAAAACAAAGAAATGAATAAAATGATAAAAAGAAATATAAGAAATTAATTAAAAAAGAAATAATAGAAATATATCAAAAAATAGAATAAAAAATGAATAAAATGACAAATGATAAATGTATTTATTTCTATTTCAACGTACATTGTATTTTATTTAATGTAATTTTATTTTATTCATTATGAATAAAAGAATTTCATAGTATTTAATATGAATTAATATTCTAACCAATTTAAATGAAAATGAAATCAAATGAATATAATACAAGATGATAA